GCTGCACCCCTTAAATTCCTTTGTTTTGACCCCTTCCTCCACCTTCAAAGCCGCAGCAGCACACCTCCTCTCTCTGACCTGCCTTCCTCTGCTTCTGTCTACAGTCGAAGGTCTGCTTGCCTCCCCTTGTAAGGACACTTGTGATTACATGTAGGGCCCACCCAGATCATCGGGATAATGTCTCCGTCATAAAATCCTTAACTTAGGCCTTGCCAGTTGGCTCAATGGGTAGAGCATCGGACCTCAGAATGAAGGGTCTTGTGTTCGATTCCAGTCAAGGGCAAATACCTCGATTGCAGGCTCGATCCCCAGCCCCAGTCGGGGCACGTACAGGAGGCAGCCAACCAATGTGTCTCTCATCGATGTTTATCTCTATCACTGTCTCACCCTTCCCTTCCACTCTCTCTAAAAATTAATGGAAAAATATCCTAGGAATAGAAAGCCCATAGAGTCAAGAGGAGTAACACACACACACACACACACACCCACACACACAATCCTTGACTTAATCACATGCACAAAAGACCCTTTTTTCCCATCAGGTAACACTCACAGGTTCCAGCACTTAGGACTTGGATATCATCGAGGGCACCATTCAGCTACCTCACCCCCTGAGCCTCTGCGTCCTCAGCGTGAAATAGGATGAGGATTCGCCAAGTTCTTCAGGTGAAGCTCTCAGACCTGTGCCCCGCGTAGCACAAGCGCCCAATCAGGACGGGGAGAGCCTCAGTTTCTCTATCTGGAAAATGGGGGCAGCGGAGTGTGGGCTCCAGGGGATGCCCAGCTCTTTCACTCCCTGGGGTGATTCCTCTCTGCACGTCCCCCGCCCCCCAGTTTTGGCAGAGAAAAAGCGAGGTGCTGAGAGGAGACACCGGTGTTGCCAGCTAGGCCTGGAGCTGGGGAGGACATGGGCACAGCAGACCCCCAGCATCAGCCCAGGCCAGAGGCAGGAGGTGAGGGGTCCCGGCGTGCACAGCGCCTGCCTCTCAGCGCCTCCCCTTTTCTCTCTTTGCAGACAATTGGTGTTATTCTCTCTAACTCCCTCTGTCAATCTGTCTGTCCCTGTGTCAGCCTCTGTCCGTGTCTCTCATTTGCTGTTTTGTCATCTCTATCTCTCTTCCTCTCTGATTTCCCCTGAGTTAGTCTGTCTGTGGCCTCTCTCCGCTCCCCCCACCCCATCTCTAGCTCTGTCTCTCTCACTGTCTCCCTCTCTGCGTGTCTGCCTCTCTCCCTCTCTGTCTCCGAAGGGGACTCTCCTCTTCTCAGCCCGGGAAGTCCCCGAAACCCGTGGGCCTCTCCCGGGACCCAGCTGGCAGGCAAGATGGGGAGAGGCGCAGGTGAGTCACAGGAGGAAGGACATTCCTGCGGATTTTCTGGGCTTGTGCACAGCCTGGCCCCCTGCCGGCCCCTCCCCTAATTCATCCCTGGACCTCCCTGGTGTGTGTCACTTCAGGGAGAGACAGAGAGAACGAGTCAGAGAGAGACCGAAAGAGAGAAAACAGATACAGTGACACCGAAAGAGAGAGAGAGTCAGTTACGGGGACAGAGACAAAGGAAAAGAAGAAACAGAGAGATAGCAAAAGGCAGAGACGGAGAGACACAGGAAAAGAGAAACAGACAGAATTTCGGGGAGACCAGAGCAGTCTGAGGAGGGGATGGGTGGGGTTCAAGACAATTCCCCCGTTCTTCAAATAAAAGAGGAAATTGTGTCAGAGAGTGGTGAGGTCATCCAGCCCAGGAAGTGGAATCCCAGACCACACAGTTTCGTGTGACACGCACACCTGATGCCTCCCGCCCTCCCCAGACCCATGTCTCAGCCGGAAAAAGCAAGGCTCTGAGGACGCAAGCCACCTGTCCATGGTCGCCCAGGAGCAAATGGCTGAGCTGCACCTCTCATGCCAGCCCTCCTGGACCAGCACCCCAAATTTCTATTTCCCCACCTCATGCACGTTAATATCTCATTCACTCTTCAGGCAAAACCCAGGCGGGGCCCCAGGTTCCACCCGAGGAAACGGAGGCTCCGGAAGGAGGCTATCTGATGGTCCACGGAGTCATGCGAGGGAGAGGTCAGCATGACGGCCCTGACGTCAGACTCATGCCTGTCTCCACCTCCCTTCCCACCTCACTGACGGGAAGCCAGGGCCATAGTCTGGGTGCAATAATACTAACGACAGGTACAGTTTCCTGTTGAGCACCTACTATGCACCAGGCTCCATGGCAAGCCCCTTGGTCGCATTCTTTTCTGTGCCTAGCACACCAGCCCTGAGAGGGAGGCACTGTTATGGTGCCTTCCCAGATGGGGAGCTGGAGGCACAAGGGGGTTAAGCAACCTGCCCAGAGCACACAGCTAGTGAGTACCTCGCTGGAATTTGAACCCTCACAGTCTGGGGCCAGCCCCAACACTCTTTTTTTTTAAAAAAAAAAAACAAAACATTTTTATTGATTTCAGAGAGAGGAAGGGAGAGGGAGAGAGAAATTAAAGCATCAGTGAAGCCCTAACCGGTTTGGCTCAGTGGATAGAGTGTCAGCCTGTGGACTCAAGGGTCCCAGGTTCGATTCCGGTCAAGGGCATGTACCTTGGTTGCGGGCACATCCCCCGTAGGGGGTGTGCAGGAAGCAGTTGATTATATTTTATTGGTTTTTTACAGAGAGGAAGGGAGAGGGATAGAGAGTTAGAAACATCCATCAACTGCCTCCTGCACACTCCCTACTGGGGATATGCCCGCAACCAAAGTACATTCCCTTGCCCGGAATCGAACCCGGGACCCTTCAGTCTGCAGGCCAACGCTCCATCCACTGAGCCAAACCTGTCAGGGCCCCACCCTCTTCATCACTAGGACATACTGCCTCTTAGAAGAGAAGGTTTCTTTGGGACTTTTCTACTCATCTTTAAATCACCAGCTTACGGCTTCAATGAATAAGAATAACAATAGGCAGGCGCCATTTGGGGGCTCAGCCCATCTGGTATCCAGATGACCTAATAGATTTATAATCCCTTACCAAAAATGTTAATAATAGCAATAGTTTCATCACTGTGTAGTGGTAGAAGTAGAGGTAGCTACTACTTACTCAGTGCCTGTTGCTCTCTCCCTTCCCACGCCTGTCCCAGCTACTCTGCCAGATCCTCAGGCATGCACCTACCTCGGCTTTTGCACTGGCTCTTTCCTCCCCCTGGAACTCTTCCCAGACCAATTGCCTGCCTTCTTCCCTCACCCATTCAGTCTCTGCTCAAATGCCACCTGTTCAGGGAAGCCCTCCTGGATCACCCCATTGAAGCTGACCACACCTCGCCCCGGTACCTGGCACCTTCTTCAACCTGGCTTGTTTTCCCCGTTTTATTTACCACTGCCAGACAGCCAGAGATTAGATAGCACAAATCTACGCCCCAACGCCCCAAGGGCAGAGACTTTGCTTTGTTTGCGGCTGGCTGTGACGCAGTCCTGGGCCAGTGCCTGACACTTAGTAAATACTGAAGGAATTTGCCAAGTCCTCCAAGTGGGTTAGCAGCTGTTCAAAGATAGTATCTGCATTAGATTGCTCTGATTGGCCAGAAGCATCCTAACACAGAGAGGCTATTTTATCTTTTGCATTTTATTTTACTTAAAAAAAAATGTATTGCCCTGGCCCGGTAGCTCAGTTGATTAGAGCTACCTGATACGCAAGGTTGCAGGTCTGATTCCCGTCAGGACACATACAAGAATCAACCAATGAATGCATAAATGAGTGGAACAACAAATCAATGTTTCTCTCTTTCTCCCTTCCTCTCTCTCTAAAATCAATAAATTAAAAAGATGTAGTATGAGTCCTTTTTTAAAAATATATTTTATTGATTTTTCACAGAGAGGGGGGGAGAGGGATAGAGCCAGAAACATCGATGAGAGAGAAACACCGATCAGCTGCCTCCTGCATGTCCCCCACTGGGGATGCGCCCGCAACCAAGGCACATGCCCTTGACCGGAATCAAACCCGGGACCCTTGAGTCCGCAGGCCAACGCTCTATCCGCTGAGCCAAACCGGTCAGGGCTGTAGTATGAATCTTTACAAACACACAGAAAAGGAAGCAGAATGACGTATGTTACCTTAATCCAGCGGTTCTCAACCTGTGGGTCGCGACCCCTTTGGCTGTCCAACGACCCTTTCACAGGGGTCGCCTAAGACCATCCTGCATATCAGATAATTACATGACGATTCATAATAGTAACAACATGACAGTTATGAAGTAGCAACGAAAATAATTTTATGGTTGGGTCACAACATGAGGAACTGTATTTAAAGGGCCAGAAGGTTGAGAACCACTGCATACTTTGGCTTTTTTTTCCCCTACAGTATATTAAAGTAGATGCAGACATCAATGACATTAACCTCTAAATATTTCAGGGAGCTATAAAAATTAAGAACAATTTTCCCACATAACCACAAAGACCTTGTCATAACAGCACTATATACTTTTTGGCTGAAGTATTTTAAAGCAAATTAGAGACATATTATTTCAAGCCCAAATATTTCAACATTCGTCTCTAAATGGTAAGACATTTCCCCACATAACTACAATGCCATTGTCCCTCCTAACAATAACAAAAATCCAATATTATCTGATAATCAGCCACGAATTCCCCATCGGGACAAGTTTTAACCTGAGGGGTGAGGTTCCTTGCCCAGGATCCCAGAGAAGGAAGAGGGGGTGGGGGGGGTGGAATTTGCACCCCAGTGGCCTGGGACACAGCTGTGGCCTTGGCCCGGTGCTTCAGAGCAGGCCCCGCCCCCTGCTCCACAGGCCACGCCCTGGTAGAGGAAGCCTGGTGGGGGGTGGGTGACATGGGGGG